GTTGTGTTGGCTGCTAGCTGAGGGCTAGCCCGGTGAAACTATCACACCTTACAATTGCAAGACTGCTGTGGCTCTATATCCACAGTTTTAGCTGATACTAAGGCTTAGCATACATACCCAGTAGACTTGCACATGCACGCACCATATATGTGCACACATATAAATGATAGATATATATGTCACACAGATCAACACAGATGGAACGTAGTGCCTTTACTGGCACCCACCAACCCATAGCACTCACACAAACATGAACAGCTTGGACAGTCTGATCCTATTCCTCCTCTTCAGCTGATCAGGATTCGTCTACACTAGTGAAATATATCCATGTACACATACAATAAGGATCACTACACTGGCTGGGCTTAGATATTCAGTCTGTCCAGAAGCTGGCCCCAGATCCCCTGGTGTCCACAGCTGCTGGCTGGATATATGAGTCCCTAGGTCTTGCAGCTCTGCTTTGGTCGCTGGTACTCTGTTCTCTTCCTGTTACAAACACTCATATAAAAGCAAATCTCTCCAGTAACTGGTTCAAACTGGTAGTGTCTCCAATAGTCAGCCCTCAGACCCTTGCTCTCTCCAGCAGCTGGCTTGAACCAAAGTCCCTCCAGTAGTCAACTCTCAGACTCCTTGTCTCTCCAGTATCCAGTCCCTTCCACACATACAGAGAGTAGAATGTTATTTAAGAACAGCATTTATTAAGATAGGACAGATTCTGGTGACCATGTGAAGGGGTCAGTCAGACAGATGTCCTGGCAAACTACAAGTTTATACACAACCATTCCCTCTTACCACCTTTCCTCTCAATTTTCTCATGTGTGTTCTCCCCAGTCCATCACAATCCTTCCCTTTCCCTTCTCTTGGTCCTTCCCATAAACATCGCATAATAGGTCTCACAGAGTCCCACAGACCCCTCGGAATATTCTATAACAAGTTTCACCCAGTCCTAAAAATGCTCTTTCTCCTGCTTTCCATAAAGAATCCTGCTCTTGAGCAGGAAATTACCCCTTGAGTCTTCACAGTGCTCTGTGGAGAGAGTTTCTTTGGTTGATGAATGTCAAATTATCCTTCTTTGATAGCCTGAGGTGTAGCCCATTCCGAGTACTTTGTTGTCATTGTTTGGGTTACTAGGGTTCTTCTGCCTCAAATTATTCCTCTAACACTTGCCACACCTCTGTTTTTACAGTCACTATAAACAATCAATCTTCAATCTTTTAAAATGTCATTTTCCTACAGGGTCCTTCACATTTATATGATTATTTGTCTGGTTGGAAATCTCTCCCCAGCCCTTGACAGTCGATTCCAAGATGCACGTTGGGAGCTATCAAAGATTCTTTATGGAGAAATGGAATCTAGAATGGTGAGTTAGCCTTTAACCATCTTATTCAGCTTCCGCAGCAGCTGAACACCCTATTACACACCTTCTGGGTGTTCTCTTGATGTCTTTGCCTGGATGGAGTTTCTTAGACTTGGGGAGGAAAACTGCTCTAATAGGCCATTAAATGCTTCCTTTTATCAAAGAAAAGTGGGAGTAAACATGACAATCAAAACTTTAGAGACCTAAGTGCACTGTATCATGTAGTAGGGAACAGTAGATGGATGGTCATCTTTCTTCTATGTATTTTTCTCAGCTAGTATTTGAATCTTCATCTTGTGTAAAAGTAAGTGGAGTAAATCATAAGGAAATCAATGTTTTACCTGATTAAATTTTTCTGAGGTAGCTTAAATTCAACTACATTACTTATCATTCACTGCCATCATTTTTAAATCACAGCATATATGATACTGACTGCATGTTTGCATATCTTTTTACTGTCTTCCTATCTCTGTCCTCACTCTCGTGTCTCTATTTCTTTCTCTGTTCTTACAGATCCCAGCTGAGCGCTGGAGGAAGTGCCTGACTGATACCAGCTCTTTCTTTGAGCCAGTTCTAGGGGAGATGATTGTCCAAGAAATTTTCCCTCAGCAGACCAAGAAACTTGTAGGTATTCATCCTCTTAACCCCCAAGCAGAGTTCAATGTCATGTCTTTCTTTTTTTGACATGCCAACTTAAGACCACATCGAGGCAGCAAAATCGTGTTGCACACATGCGCATATTCCTGTAGTTATGCACTTCCTCTCCTTTTCGGGGAATGAAAGATGTCAGAACAAGACATTGCTGTCATTACAAGAATAATTAATGCTAAAATACCAGTTATTATCTTTTTCTCAACTGCTAGCAAAGTCATTTGTGCAGTACCAATACCTATGACAGCCCTACAAATGTATGTAGTCTCAGTGTGCTTTCTGGAATGACAGTTAGTATTAACAGTACTAATCATCAATCTGACATATTTAAATAAGATTTTCAATTGCAAAGCCATTAAGCCATCATATGACCAGTTGCACAGAAACAAATCAATGTCAAAACATTCTGAGGCAGTCCACAAAAAAAGGAACACCTGTCTGCAGTGTGGCAAAGATATCTTTTTTTCCTATAATGACCAGGGTTCCTTTTGATTTTGAGGGAAGTTAGTGTAGGCACCAGGTTTTATAAAAGATGAATGAACAAAACATACTTTTGTGAAGGAGAGACTCAGATTGCCATAACTTTGGAAAGGGAGACACCAGAATGAGTGTGGATACTGAATTTTCATTTCACTCAAGAAGTGAGGCAATCATTTGGTCCATTGCTATCCCAAAAGGGATTGAATGAAAAAGAATTATGTTTCCCTCTTAGTTACCATGAGAGGCAAGATGAAAAGGTGTCTGGAGAGAATGGTGAGCCCTGTGAGGAACCACTGGATGCCAAACAACTTAAGCCAAAATCATCGTGGAAACTGAAATCTCCTCTTTCATAAGAAGAAGAGGAATTTTCCCCAAGTTATTCTGTGGTTGAATCGCTGGAACATGGGAAGGATAGCTAAGCCTGAACAATGTTTTTGTGCGTTCTTACTGTGCTACCTTTTCTCCATGGCAGGCTGATCAGATGTTCTCTGAGATCCAAGATGCACTTTATCGCCAACTGGATCAGTTGGAGTGGATGGATGAACAGACTCGCCAGAAGACTAAAGCCTTGGTGCGTGCAGAGGGCAGAAGTTACTGAGACCTTCCTTTCCCTGAAGCCCTTGGAAAAGGAATCGAAGGGGCCTGCACCTTCAGATCCTGCTTCTACAGGCACACAATCTTAAACAGATATCTTATACACACTGAAAATTGTAGGTGGTTTTATAAGTGCTATCATGCACATGTGATCATACATTTATGTCTAGGCATAGAAAGGCTCAATGTTTCTCTGTTGGTGGATACTCTGAATTAATTGTATTAGATACAATTCAGTTTTATACAACTACAGAGGTTAAAAACTATAAAGCTGAATGCTAGAAAACAATGCTATAAAGAAAAAGAAGTGTAGAATAACATTAGGCCCCAGGTCATTGAGGTAAGAAAGCAGAGTAGCAAGAGATTTCTTGTTTTAACAGAGCAGCTGTCATTTTGAAGGGCTGATTCTCAGATTGTTTAGGTTGTTTAGAAATGGAGTTTAAAAAGGACTTCTAGAATGTAAAGCCTCCTATTAGTCACATTTCTTTTTGTTCATTTGTTTGTTTATTATGATTTTAGGTTTCTGAACTACAAGTGGAGATTGGCTATCCAGCTTACATACTCCAGACTGACAAAGTGAACCTGGAATACCAGAATGTGAGCTATATAATGTAAACATGCCTGCCTCATTGTTGGCAGTTTACCTGTACCAACTGCTATCTTTGCTGCTAAAAGAGGCTATGACCTCCAGAGCAATGCACATTTCCTGCTGTTCATTTTCTGAGAACATATGGACCCAGAGAACCTTTATTTATTGCTTCTATATTGTTGCCTATGCTGTCTCCAATTTAGAGTGGCTGGCCTGATAGACATTGGTCGTGACCTGCTTGTATGCTCTGTTTGGCTTGCAGATAATATTCCTGTCATATCTTAAATTGAATGTCTTTAGAACTTTAGAATAAACCATAAGTATTCCATTGGTTTGTCTTTTGATTAACCCTTTTTTGACCTATGGGTCTTTTCTGTTTCTCATACTGTGCAATTCATTCCTTGCTCATGCTCTATGATAATCACATTACCTGTCTCTTCCTTCAGTTGGAGTTGAATGAAGACACTTTTTTCCTCAATGTGGTGGCTTGCTTGAAAGTACTGAGGGAAAATTCCTACTTGAAACTCCTTCAGGATCACTCACAGCATAAGTAAGTGTCAGATACTGATCTGAAAAACAAACCAGAATCACACACTGGAGGACTAACTGAGGTTGGAAGGGACTTGTGGAGATCACCTAGTCCAACCATCCTGCTCAAAGCAGGGTCAGCTAGAGCAGGTCACTCAGGACTGTGTCCAATTGTATGTCTATATCTCTCTTCTACTAGAGAAGTAGGGCAGATGTGGGAGGTTTGAGCAGAACTGGACACAGTACTTCCAGATATGGTTTCACCACTCCTGAATAGAGGGGCATAATCACCTGTCTTGACTGGCCAGTAACCCTTCTCATGCGAAACAAGATGATGTTGTCCTTCTTGCTGCAAGTCTGTATTGCTGCGTCCTGCTTTAAAAAGCCTTGAATCTGGAAGCCTGTCTTGTGCCAATGGTACCAAAAGTCCCCATGGTTGTGGAGGGAGCCCCAGACCCCTGAAAAAATAACCTTTTTTGCTGATGAACACTTGAGTAAGAGGGATAGCTGGTTCTCCTGGAATTAGCAACAAAGCAAACAGCAAACCAGTGTGATTATGTGAATGCTGGCAGAGTCATCTCAAAGGCAGGACATAGGATGCTTTAGAAGGCAGGCAGCGTTGACAGACATGCTTGGGACCTTACACCACCTGAAGAGTATTCTGAGCAGGACTTCACAGAAAGTTATTAATCCTGACTTACTGACAGAGGATTTGTGAGGGTGAATTCCTTAATGTGTATGAAAGCTAAGCTACTAACTCTGACCATCTGTAAAGAAATTAAGGTTTATTTCAAACATCTTTAACTCTAGATAATGTGAATTTTATCATTTGCTGCTGCTATATGAACAGTTCTACTGAGCAGACCATTTTTTGCAAGCCCAGTAGAGGAAAGGAGCAAGATACGAGATAAGTACTTAATACATTCTCTCATTTCTCTTTTTCTGCTTCTAGCTGGCATGTGTCCCCCTGGACTGTGCATTCATACTACTCAATAAGGCACCACATGGTGGTCTTTCCTGCTGGAATGTTCCGCAGCCCTTTTTTCCACATGGAGTTTCCCAGGTATGGAGGGGCTGCAAAGGTGGAAGTTGAATGTAGTCACTTGGCTGCACCATGTTTCCAGGAAGAATCTTAATGGGTCTGTCTTTAACCTCTTTTTCTTACTGCATCCCAGAAAGACACAGTAAAGGGGTGGGGGGGGGGGTTGGAAAGGAGCTTCTTCTAAAGCTAGATGGATTATGCCTTAAGAATTCTGAAAGAATGTGATCACTGACTGTGCTGGAGCAAAATCAGAATCTAGGTGAAACTAAGCTAAGCCAAGTATATTGCTCCAGAGCAAAGAGGCAGAAGTCTTATCTAGATTAACTACAAAGAAGGTATTTTGCCTTTGCCTCTCATTTTGTAGATTCCAAGAATTCTTGAAATCTAACCCATAGAAATATAACCCAGAGAAAATAGGAGCCTCACAGAGCAACTTCTTATCAGAAGTCTTTTTCATATGGATCAAACACAATTCTTCTCTTTCTTTTTTTAAAATAAACTTTCTCTAATAAGCAAATACATTTCTAACTCAGTCATCTCCATAACAATGACACTTCTGTAGACCATACTCTTATAGTTGGGTTCTTTCATCATATGGAACAGATCTGTTAGGCCGTATTTTTCTGATATGAAAAGCACTTAAAAGTTGACTGTAAAAATATAATTTGAGGTCCTTTTTTGCACAATAATGGACAGATACTTCTTCTAATCCCATTGTACTGAAATATAAGCTCACACTGTGTCAAGAGGTTAGAAGTTTGAAAGAAACGTGTCTCAGTTAAAAGTAATTATTTTCTCCATGATGATTTTCTACTAGTAGTTGTATGACATCTTCTAGTGCTTTCAGTATTTCATGAATTCATTATAGTATGAAGAACAGGTCACCTCAAAAAAATAAAGAAAAAATATTTCCAGTGGTATGGGCTGTCACTTATCATATTCTTCCTCTCTGAAAAAGTGTCTACAATTTCTTATTCTTTTTGTATTCAGTGTTAGTAAAATACATTTTTCTCACTGTCATCCCAGTTGAGTAGACTGATAAATCAAACTTGATCATCTTTTCGTGAGTTGACAAAATAACATTTTCTCAGATGATGTTCCAAAGTTTAAACTTTACTGACAAAAGCCAATTCAGATGATTGTGAGGATTAGAAATAAGAAGTCAACAAAGCAGTACAATTGTTATAGATTCATAGAATGGTTGGGGCAAGATTGCTTCTCCAGCCATTCTGCTTTTTTACGGTTAACATTGCAGTTAATTTCTGTGCAGCAGTTCAACCAGTAGTGGGTAAATAAGGACATATCTCAACAAGAATATATGTCATTAGAGTTAACAAAGGCAGAATCTCATTCATGGACTCTTCATTATTACGATGGCTTATTAGCAATGGATATTTTAATGCAAGTACATAGTACAATTTTAAGCATTGGCAGAGTAATTTACACTTGTATTTGGGTTTTTACAGAGTGTATCACATCTCAGAAACAATAAATAGAAAGTGTTTCTGTGTACACTCAGAGTAGAATGCTCCTGTGCAGCCCAAAGTGGCTTCTTTATAGCTCAGTGGCTGTAAAGAATGCTCACCTGCCTTCTTTTTCTTTCCAAAAGCACTGTCTTCATGTTTGTTTTTCAGTGCTGTGAACTTTGGAGCTATTGGGGTCTTCATGGCGCATGAACTTCTTCACACATTCTATGGTTATGGTGGGTACCAGCTGTGGTGTCTTTGTTCATTCTTCTTGGTCCCTATTGGTACTTTCCCTCAGGGGATCTTAAATCCTGGTCCCTATATTGATGTATCTATATATACATATATAGAATCATAGAATGGTTTGGGTTGGAAGGGACCTTAAAGATCATCTAGTTCCAACCCCCCTGCTATCAGCAGGGACACCTTCCACTAGACCAGGTTGCTCAAAGCCTCATCCAACCTGGCCTTAAACACCTCCAGGGAGGGGGCATCCACAGCTTCTCTGGGCAACCTGTGCCAGTGTCTGACCACCCTCACAGTGAAGAACTTCTTCCTATATAAAAGTACATATATAATTAAGGTAGACGAACCTAAGGAAAACCCATTCTTAGGCCATGCTGACTACTAAGAAGACTCAGTGATTAATGCGAGGAATACAGATTTCAGCACCTGAAATACCTTTAATTTCGAGGTTTTGTTGTGTTTTTTTTTTCTCCCCACAGTGCTGCCTGGGGGTTGTCCTACATGCAACAGAAGTGTGCTACAGAAATCTATAGACTGCTTGATTAAACAGTATGAAAGCTATAGCTTTAAGGTCAATGGTACTTTTACACTGTTGGAGAATACAGCTGACACTGGAGGGCTCACCATTGCTTACCAGGTATTGTAGTCTACTTCTCTAGTCTCATAGTCTCACCACAAAACTCAACCGCCGTGCCACAAGATTGCTCTGCTGCATCCCTCTCCTAGGTGCTGTTCCAGTTCCAGATTTCTTGCATGCCTGTGCCGGTGAGGCATGTGCCCTACATATCCTCTGCTATTGCAGACATAGGTTCCTCATAAAGCTTTGCTCATAATCTCCAAGTAAGACCACTTCTCCCCTTCACCAGTTCTGGGATGGGCCCTTCTTTACTTCCCCATTTACGTCATGTGTACAAAAGCACGTTATTATTTATAAGTTTATGTTATACCTGAGGAACTAAGCTGAGACATGAAACAGAATTCTGTGTGGTGGTAAAATGACTCCATAATGTTTTCAGCAATACTTTAATCTAGAGGGAATTTTTTATTTCCTCATGCAGCAGTGCAGCAGTTTAATTAATTACTGAGTGCAGGGTGCTCTGAGATCTCTAGGCCTCAGATGGTACTTATTTCATTCTTGTACAAAAAATGCTGGGAGTTGGAAAGCCTCTTAATTTTTATTCACATATTTGTGACTTTCCTTGAAAGTTTCATTCCTGGTGCAGTCACCGTTATCTTCTGTTATGATGATGTGTGTGTGGTACTGTCTGAAATGGGAAGCAAAGGATTTATGTTGTTATTCTCCTAATCTTAGAGTTATTAGGGGCATGACCAGCAGCAGGGAGAGAGATACCAACTTACTAATTTATTAAATATATATTAGATTGACAGAAGTCATGGTTTTGGGACACTGTCTGAAGGGGGATTTATTATAATTAATTTTCTCTCTCCACAGGCCTATAAGAATTGGCTGAAAAAGCACAAAGAGAAGGATTTACCTAAAACTGGACTTTCACACGACCAGCTTTTCTACCTCAGTTTTGCTCATGTAATGAATTCTAGGCTAGTCTTGTGTCTCTCTCACTCTCCATTGTCTTCCACATTATTACAGTTTGTTTTTCTCAATATTCAATCACTTTTCCCCCTCTTCACAGAACTGGGAATGACCTATGTTTCTGGGAGATTCAGAATCTCATTTAGAAAGCTAAAATTCACCTGTTATGGATCTCAAAGCTAACAAAAGGCCTGTCTGCATAGATCTTTTACAAAGCTCTGAAATGTACCAAAATTAAGTTGTAGCAGTCAAGTTCTGTCAGAGAAAGCATGCTTCATTGCCAGAATTCGAGTACTTTTTTGCAGTTATGAGTGATCTTACACATGAAAAGTGGAATTTTACTGGAAAAGGCGTGAATCTTTCCATCCCTTCCTTTATCCATATCTCTGTCACAGTGAATAACTAGATGTCTGAAGAGAAGGACTTGGGAGTGGTGGTGAACAAGAAGCTCAACACGAGCCAGCAATGTGTGCTTGCAGCCCAGAAGGCCAACCATATCCTGGGCTGCATCCAGAGAAATATGACCAGCAGGTCGAGGGAGGTGATTCTGCCCCTCTACTCTTGCTCTTGTGAGGCCCCCCCTGGAGTACTGCATCCAGTTCTGGAGCCCCCAACACAAGAGAGACATGGACCAGTTAGAACGAGTCCAGAGGAGGCCACGAGGATGATCCGAGGGCTGGAGCACCTCTCCTATGAAGAAAGGCTGAAAGAGTTGGGGCTGAACAGCCTGGAGACAAGAAGGCTCTGGGGAGATCTTATAGAGGCCT